TGCCCTTCAATATGATTGGTCCATCACTCAATTGGATGTCTCGAATGCATTTCTTCATGGCACTCTCACTGAGCATGTTTATATGACCCAACCACCTGGATTTGTTGATCAATCTCAACCCCATCATGTTTGCAAACTTCGGAAGTCCCTCTATGGTCTTAAGCAAGCACCTCGTGCTTGGTATGAAGAACTGTATACCACTCTCCTTTCCCTTGGTTTCCAGTCTTCCACTGCTGACCCCTCCCTCTTCATTCACACCAGCTCCTCAATTACCTTTCTCTTAGTATATGTTGATGATATTCTTATCACGGGTTCCTCCCCCACCACGTGCAATCACTTCATTTCTCAACTTAGCTCCCGTTTTGCAATGAAAAACCTTGGCCCCCTCCATTATTTTCTTGGCATTCAAGTCCACCGCACCCCCACCTCCATCTTTCTTTCTCAAGCCAAGTATATTCAAGAACTCCTCACCAAAGCCTCCATGGTTGACTGCAAACCTTGCACCACCCCAGCCTCTCTTGTTAAGCTTGACACTACCTCTGGTGATTTACTCCATGATCCAACTCAGTACAGGTCTCTTGTAGGTGCTTTGCAATATCTCACTTGGACACGCCCTGACATTGCCTTTGCCGTGAATCAAGTATGTCAGCATATGCAGACCCCACGCATACCTCATTTGTCAGCAGTAAAACGCATCCTTCGCTTCCTCAAAGGAACTCCGGATCAAGGACTTCTCTTCACCAAAGGCAGTCAAGATCTCATTGCTTACTCAGATGCGGACTGGGCAGGTTGTCCTATTGATCGCCGATCCGTCACTGGTTTTTGTCTCTATCTTGGTCCTAATCTTATCTCATGGTGTGCCAAGAAGCAGCCTTGTGTCTCCAGGTCTTCCACTGAAAGTGAATATCGCTCCCTTGCCCAAACAGCCAGTGAAATTACTTGGTTATGTGGCCTCCTCAAAGACCTTCACTTTTATCTTGCTCACCCTCCCCTCCTTCTTTGTGATAATGTGAGTGCTCTTGCCCTTGCCTCCAATCCTGTTTTCCACGCAAGAAGTAAACACATCGAGGTCGACTATCATTATATCCGTACTCTAGTCACTAGTAATTCCATCACCATTTCCTACCTCCCTACCCATGACTAATTAGCTGACTTGTTCACCAAAAGTCTTCCAAAGGCTCGTTTCAAATTTCTAAACTCCAAGCTCACTGCTCTACACCCGCAGCTGAGCTTGAGGGGGGATGTTAACCACACTCACAAATCTGCTCAGCACACCCAGCCTAACGGCTCCATTACTCAACAAATTGTACCTCTAGATAAG